GGCATGGCTTGGTGGGCGTGGCACGGGAAGGATACTACAAAATCTCCATTCCCATCCCATTCTGGGGCCAGCCAGAGGTGGTATTTGTCAGTTCTCTGAACTATTCAAAATTTTTGTTACCGGATCTCCAGAATCTACACCCCTGATCTCACCCCATTCCTAAGAGGTCTGGAAGGGGGCATGCATATGCGCACCAACGTGCCTACCATCCCTGTCCTACTGTTCCCATTTATTTGTAGTTATTTCTTGTGTGTGTGTGTCTCTGTGCGTGTATACACACATACACACATATATATATATACCTTCTTATACTTATATGTTTATATGTTATATTCATACTTGTTTTCTCATACATACTTGACAAACCAAAATAAATGAAATAAAAATAAATTAAAATGGCAGAAAGCAAGAAAACAGAGGCAGGGTATCCATGAGAAAGAGACAAAACAGGGCACCCCCAGTCCTTAAAAGGAACGTCCAACACAGTGACAGCCATTCACACACTTGGCCCATCCTATAATGTTAGACCTCCCTGCATAGATGAGAGGACCAGAAGTACAGAGATGACTCAGAGCCTAGTATGACTGAGCTTTAGCCTAATCCCACTGGCAACCCATACAATCTAGATTTTCCAGAGAAGCTTCAAAGTTCTCTTAAAAATAAAAGCCCAGAGCAGCATACATGACAAGCAGGTTAGATTGCTGCATAGAAATGTTATAAGAATAAGGAAGTGATATTTAATGATTAATCCAGAACACTGATTGTGCTGAAAAGAAGGAAATGAGAAGTAAGGAATTCAGGGAAGGTAACTGAAGGAAAACATTACAGGAAAAATTTGGAAAATGCAAAAACTATTGGATGCATTTACATGCAAAGCCATAACTCTGTATGGGGAACAATGAGCCAGGATTTCTTTAAAGGCAATAAACTATTATAGAAGTTTAGCTTATTGTTGGTTCACTAATTGCAATGGTGATTTAATATGCTGTGCGAAGAAGGATTTATGGTTTATGTGAGTTTTCTTAGATTACTCCTTTCTAGTTTTGTGCCTTCCCCACTCCTTGATTCAGTCTACAGAAATTCAAAGCAAGAGCTGTTTCTTTAAAAGGGAGAAGAAAAAAATCATTACTCATCTGCTTGTTTCTGGCTTGTATAACAAATCATGGCTCAGATAAGCCGTGGCTTAGTATGGTTATAAGTGCAGTCACTGAACCTGAGCCTAGAGAAAGAGTCAACCTTTGTGTAGTAAGCAATATGATGTAGATCAGGGATGTCAAACTGGTGGCCCGTGGGCCAGATGCATCACGCGCCAACCCCGATCTGAGAAGGCAAAAAAAAAAAGTCACGATACATCACGTGACATAAACATGATGTGATGAGTTTGACATGTGTGATGTAGATGGACACTTTTTCTGGCAAGCTGCACAGATCAACCACACAAAGCTGCTGGCCCATGAAGCTGCTACATCAAATGAATGATCTCACCTCACAAGGCCATTTTTCAAGTATAATTTAACAGCAAGGCAGGTGAGAAGAGCCAACACTAACCCTGGGATATGATTGAGGGTCATGTCTGTTTCAGGCAGTGCCATAATGGTTGAAGCTGTATCAACAGTCAATTTAAAGTCTGAATGTTGCAACCAGATGTTAAAGAAAGTTGATCCTGTAAGCAGTAGACTAGGAGCGGGAGTTGATGTCATGGCCCACAGTATGGCAGAAGTGATGGGCCTTTTGAAGAAATATATTTTGAATATCCAAATCATATTTACCCATGAAAAAAGTGATAATTTTTAGCTCCAAACTCTGTAAAGCTTGCCTTATCCTGCTGTTGGAATCATTGCTTAGCCCTTACAGCAGTGATGGCTAACTCTTTTCGGATCGTGTGCCAAAAGCGAGGGGAGTGCAGGGGGATTGTGCATGGGCATACCCACTCCTACCACCCCCTGCACGCATACGCATGCAACCCCTCCTCCCCCCACCTTTGGTGTGCGATGGACCCATTTTTTGCCCTCCCCAGGCTCTCTTTCTGGGAGCCTGGGGAGGGAGAAAAACAGCTGTACAGGCAACCCAGAAGTCACTCCCAGATTGCCCGTAGAGTCGTTTTTCACCCTCTGGAGCATTCAGGAGGTTTCCCTAAAGCCTCTGGAGGGTGAAAAACAGCTGAAAAAGAAGTCCAAAGTCAGGTGGCCAGCCCATGCATGCACCCTGAAGCTGATAGGGCAATGCCTCACGCACCCTAACAAATGGCTCCATGTGCCACCTATGGCCTTATAGCATTCCTATCCAGCCTTGACAACTTTAAGACTTGTGCACTTCAATTCCTAGAATTCCCCAGCTAGGTATGTGAATCCTGGGAATTGAAGTCCATAAGTCTTAACATTGCCAAGGCTGGATACCCCTGTCTTAGAAGATTTTGGGAAAGAGGATTTTGGGGAAATCACTATTATGTGCAGAAGAGTCTGTTACAAAAGCAATTGGTTGATAGTTAATTTCCACATTCTTAGAAATCTTTGTTATTAGTTCTTTTTTTTCTGTTGACCTCAGCTATTAAACCTGTCTTTCCTGTTTTGGAAAAAGCTGGTTTAACTTTGATTTGTAGTGTCTGGGTCCTCCCCATTGCATTAAGATATATTTTGATTTATTTGGATTTGGTTTAGTATGGTATTTGTATGAAATCAATTGGGGTTCTTTGTAAACTATAATTTATGAATTAGCATTATATGATCAGAATGTTGTTGTTAATTGCAAAGTCATGTCCAACCCATCATGACCCCATGGACAACGTTTCTCCAGGCCTTCCTGTCTTCTACCATCCTCCGGAGTCCATTAAGCTCACACTTACTGCTTCAGTGACTCCATCCAGCCACCTCATTCTCTGTCGTCCCCTTCTTCTTTTGCACTCAGTCTTTCCCAGCATTAGGCTCTTCTCCAGTGAGTCCTTCCTTCTCATTAGATGGCCATATAAGTATAAGTATACTTATACTTATACTTCTCATTAGGTGGCCAAATNTGTCTCTTTGAATCAGGGTTACAGAAAGCAAATCACTTATCCAAGTGTCTCTTTGAGTCAGGGTTACAGAAAGCAAATCACTTCTCCAAGTGTCTCTTTGAATCAGGGTTACAGAAAGCAAATCACTTATCCAAGTGCCTCTCACAAACAAACCACGACCGATGAACGACAAACCATGAATGAACGTTGACTTCTGCAACCAGGGCGTGGCACCATCAGTCCTTTTATCACCGCACTAACGAGCCCCAGCTGCATTGTTATTCCTGCATCCCGACTCAACTCACAGCAAACTTCTGCTGAGTCACAACATATTTACATTACAATGCTAAACTGTTGTGGCTGCAAGAAGGAAATAGAAGCATTTGTTTCTGTCTTAAATGAAGTGGACAAAGAGATGGGTTTAAATAATAGTTTGATTGCACCGCAACATAAAGCATGGTGATTTGTGATCCAGGCTGGTTTGGATGGAAACAAGAAACTTGTTTACTTTAAATAGAAACAGATGCTTCTGATCTCCTTGGATTCAGTCCAGGGCTAGGAAATAGAGAAAGCATATTTATACAGAAGGCAATTGATGTTTACATCAAATCACATTACATTCAAGTGTCGAGTCGAATGTTCAAACTAACTTTCAGAGAATGCAAGATTTCCCTAGTTCTATATTCTACCTTCCCCTAAAAGCTGGATGGTTTATCTTATCTCTCTTCTTGCCTAAACCTTTTGGCATTATTTTTAATATGTAAACAATTATGAATATCTTAGTATGAAGTAACCACTCTTAGCCTCTCTTAGTCTTCCAAACAAAGGAAAAAGGGGGTTAGTAAGAGCATTAAAAAGGGAAGTACAGAATAATTTATTTAATGCTGCAATTATGCATACAATTCTTCCCTAATCTCTCTTAAAATATACACACCCGAATATCAAATATCTATGATCTCAGAACATAGAAAGCCTGCATTCATCAGTGTTGCCACTAGATGGTGCATCCATTCCATTAAAAGCATTAAGTTGTTTTTTTGCACAGCAGTTTAAGGACTTCAGATATAATTTTATTTATATTATTTATAGCTATGCGTACCAAACTACAGCCGAAATATTTTTCCACTCTTAAAACCTATAATCACAGGATTTCCATTAGTTGTTTATGATAATTAAAGCTCCACCCCCCCTAAAAAAAATAGAGAAGTTTTTAGACACTAAAAGGAAAAGATAAAATTAGATTGTTTCTCATACCAAATTTTTGGCTAATTATTAGCAATAGCAATAGCAGTTCGACTTATATACCACTTCATAGGGCTTTCAGCCCTCTCTAAGCGGTTTACAGAGTCAGCATATCGCCCCCCACAATCTGGGTCCTCATTTNCCAATAAACCTAACCTAACCTAGATTTTTACTTTCTTACTTTGTTTCAACAATTGGGATGTCCTTCACTTTTTGTCAACTTTCCCTGTAATTTCTCACGAGACCCTTTTTGGTCCCATAAATCGAGAAATGTCTAGCAATCTATTTTTAGATCGTTTGTTCTATTCTTGGTTTTATTTGGGACAGAAAGTCTATATGGGAACCTAAAAGCAAGTGTAATCGAAGGGAAATGACCTTACAGAACAAACTCTGGTTTTTCGGCAAGCTTCAGGGCCTCATGCATGCCTGCAGCTGAGAGTTTACGGTTGATGTTCCTATATCTACATTGCAGCAGGTTGCGGTAGGTGGTCCTCAGGTCCCGATTGAAGAAGGCGTATATAAATGGGTTAATCAAAGAGTTGGCATAACCCAACCAGAGAAATGTCCTCTCAATCCACAAAGAGATACAACTGCACGAGGTCCCACAGATGAAGGGTCTAGCAGTAGAAAGGATGAAAAATGGCAACCAGCATACGGTAAAGGCCCCTACAATTATTCCAAGGGTGGTGGCGGCTTTTTGCTCCCTTTTGAAGATAGAAATGTTCTTCCGTTCATGCTTAAGCAGACGTGAAAAATTGGTGCACTCTTCGGATTCCTTGTGCAGTTTCACGACGCCGTTGGCGGAAACCATCCCTTGGCGTTCGTTGGGTCTCGGGAAACCGGCAAATTTGTGTTTGGCTGCACTTTTCTTGGCAGCTTTGAAGATCTGATAGTACATGAACAGCATCACCGACATGGGGATGTAAAATGCAACAGCAGTGGAATAAATTGTGTAGCCAAAATCCTGGCTGATTAAACAGACTTTGTTGTCATTAATATTCTGAGCCCAACCAAACAGCGGGGGCAAAGTGATGGAAGCAGACAGCAGCCACACGCAAAGGATCATTTTAGCCATACACTTTCCATTTTGTCTTACGGGATAGGTGAGAGGTCTAGTTATGCCAAGATACCTAGAAGGATAAAAAACAAACACCAAGAGTTAGTCTATGTTCATTGTCAGTTTGCGGACTATTTATAATTTGTAATTCGTAATTTAATGAGCTTATATGCCGCCCAATCCTGGAGGACTCCGGGCGGCTTACAAATACAAGATAAAATAAAAATAACCAATAGGGGAGAGAAAACGAAAACAGTTTAAAAAACACAACATACATTCGGCTTAGCTGGGGGTTGGACCTGAATTATAGATCAACAACCCCAGGCCTGCCGGAACAGCCAGGTTTTGGTAGCTTTTTAGAAGGCCACGAGAGTAGGAAGGGTCCGGATCTCTGCAGGCAGATCGTTCCACAGAGCCGGAGCAGCTACAGAAAAGGCTCTCCCCCGAGTGGTCGCCAGCCCTTCCTGTTGTGATCCCTTCCTCTCCTCTGAATGCAAGTTCAAAAATCAATTATCTTGCTAATTATTTAGAATTAGTATTCTAAAGCAGGGCCGTCAAACCCGCAGCCCGCAGGCTGGATATGTCACCTGCGGGACATGCCCACACAC